TTTGCTGGGCTGCTGGGTTGTCTACTAGTTCTGTTGTTGTTTGGATAGAGAAGAGCAGCCCGTAGTGGTCTGAGCCAGTTTCTGTAGTAACTTGCCAGTCTTTAACTTTATTGGCTATGTCTGGCGTGGCAAGTGATAGGTCTAATACTGGCTCTCTTGATAGGTGCGGCCTAAAGAAGGTCCCAGCACCTGGGGTGTTGAGTAGGCTTAGGTTTTGGTCCTCTATCCAGTCGGCTAGCTCTTGAGCGCCTTGGCTGGTGGTTGGGCATAGCGGATCCCACCAGGGGTGATGCTCGTTAGCGTCAATAGCTAGTATTGTTGCTGCTGGTAGCCTAGTGCTCAGGAGGACTCTTGGGAACGTCTTAGTCCCTAGTGGACCTTTTTCGTTGTACACGTTTACAATATTAAACTTAAAGCTCTGCCCTTTAACAACTACTGCTATTGTGTTTTTGTTTTGAGTGTGAGACGTGTCCTAACTGTCTGCTCTTATAGCTTATAGCTCCACAGCGCGCACGCTGCACGTCTTAAAACTTGCTGTAATTAGTTTCTTGTAAGGGATTTGTATATATTTAACAAAAATTACACCTATTCTAGAAAACTTGACGTTGGTGTGAACCCACCGAACATTGTACGTACGTACAATGCACACATACCATGTCTTGAAGCGTTTGTGAGCCAGAGATTAATCTAAATGGATCTAAACGCCCGGAACATTACGGCCCACGCGGAAGATGCAGGCCCAGAATGTCAATAATTGCTGTCACACGTGTGACCGGAACGCTGGAAGCTGTTTTATTGGTGTGATTAGCGCTGGTACAAGCGGCGTAGTTGCTAAGGTTGATAGCGTGAACGCCACCAACAGTCAGATGCCATAAAAAATCCAACAGACATGGCTAGATGAAGCATAGTTTCTCGTAGTGGAAAACTACAGTCCAGCATTAGGATCTTGGCTCGCACAAGACTTCCTAGAGCAAATGTCATACAGTGGCATCCGAGATAGCCAGACGACTTCAAAATTTCCTAGCAGCCAGTGGCCTCTGGAAAACTTACTTGGACGAATAACTAAGTTAGATGCTTATTGTGTGAGACCTCGTGACCTACGTGATTGATATCAACTCCCCCATCGCCTAAGTATATAAACTGCTGTGTTACCAACTACAAAAACGTCACTCACATATCTTGCTTGACAGTAACATACTCATTTCACAGCAACATGAATCCACATGAGCATGGCGATGTCGAAATTCTCGTTAAAAAAACACCAGTTTCTTGTCTCCTCTTCAATCATGTCACAAACATCACCAGAGTTCGAGAAGCTCTTTACGCAACACGCGTCACCGCGTGAGAGAATCAAGCTGCCAGATGAAGACCCCGTGGCGTTCCATCTAATCTGCCAGTCGGCTCATGGCTCCTTTATCCCGAATGCCCACATATCATTGGAAACGCTTGTTAAGATGGCTAATGCTCTGCAACGATACAAGATTCCTGCTACATCCCGTGTGCACCACACTGTAGCGTTTGGTTTTCTTGTGCGAACGATAAGGCCAGAGACGCTGTCTATGGTCCAACTTCTGATGCTTCTTCACATCGCGAGAATTCTAGGCTCTGAGAAATACGAACAATTTCTCCAAGAAGTTTCTCTGCATTGCCCGCTTCGACTGGAAGCATTGAGCGACGAGCCGATTGCTGACATCCCGGACACAAATTGTATTGTAGTCTTGGGTATGTATAAAGCTTGGTTCCTGGAGTTGAACGAAGCTGACTATCTCTTACAGCAAATTTGATGCTACGGGTTGCTGCGTGCCGTGCAGAAGTGGCATGTACATTGTTGAGTGCAGCCGGAAGCGATGGAGCCTTCCATGCTCATCAGAAAAGTGACTTGGCTGTTTGGGTACTAGAAGACAGCCCCAGCCTAAAGGAAATAGATGCTCGCATCCAAGATTTGAAGCGTGCCGTTGATCTTCAGAGGGATCAGCTGCATGACGCCAGTGGAACGATCAAGGAAGCCACTGCAGACATCAACCGTTATGTTCGCGCTACCATCGGAGATGGTCCAGGGCCAGAAGAAAGTCGCACAGAAGAGACCATGAACCTAGATACTTGCCACGATGTCAAGCGATTGGAAATTCTAATCGCGGAAGACGAGCATGCGTCAAAGAACTTCGTCAATATTGATAATCTGGACTTAGACGATACTTCATCTCACGGCACAGCGTTTGAGGACATCGAGGCCCACAGCAAACCTACGGGAATCACTCTGGATGATTATCTGGATCATGAGGACGCTGAGTCTGTGGTTTCTGCTCGGACAATATAGAGGCATCTACCTAACGTATAGAAGCCTCTGATAATATGTAGAACTGGCCATATACAGAGCGACGAAATATCATTTGCTTGAGCTTATCTACTGTACGTGTAACCATCGAGATTACTGTGTATTCATATGCACTTGCTTTATTCTGCAACACTAAAAGCTCTGGTACAATCTTGCAGCTTTGACAGGATCTGTATCCATTAATGTCTAGAGCTCTTGTTGGTCCACTCCGCTTTCTAAACACTCGTAGTTCATCTGCGATGCGTTGTACGCCATAAATAGGAAGCTATGCTGCGTTGAGGTGGCTGGGAATGTGCCCAGATCAGGTACACTTACAGCAACAGCTAGAGGTAGCGGCGTTGCTAGCTGTGACCGCGAAAGAGACACAGTAGGCGTCGTCTTCGGCAACAAAACCTGGGGCTGTGCCTGTTCTAGTATTGTTGTCATACTCTCACGTAGTGTGTTTATATATCCGATGATGTCGTGTAGAAGTGGACGGTTGTCTTCTGGACTCCGCGCTGGCAGAATTGGCAACTCGTGACCAGCCTGGATATGCTCGTAAAGCGTCTGAACCGCGTCTCGTAGTTGTCTGTTCTGCGCTTCAAGGAGAGCTCCCCTACAAAAAGAGTGAGTCTAAAGCAATAGCCAGTTTATCCCTCTAGAAACGCTTACGGTGAGTCTCTTTTCCGCACTTGGGCCGTATCATTGCCATAATCACATAAAGCATCCTTAGCTCGACACTTAGAGCAAACACGCTCCCCGTCACACTGTTCTAATATCAGCGACCTGATTAGTCTGATTAGGAGCATCATTACCTTTGTTTTCTTGAATCGGCACTGGTTGCACGCGTGTTTCACTCGCTGCTTGTTCTTGTCTATTGTGATTGGGATTATCGACCGATGCATAGGAATTTATCACGAGCAACGTCCTGCACGAACAGGACTTGCAGCTATAGAACATTCTGCCAAGTTTAATACCTGTATGCTGATGCTGTGCCACAACAACTTGCAAGGGTGCTATCCAAGAGCATGGGGACATATCCCGAAGTGGAGCTTCTATACCGTGCCGCAATTAGTGAAAACCTCCTTCCAACGCGACAGATCGGTCGAATTTCGGCTCAAAAAATATATTCAATAAGAGTGGGGAAACGATAGTCTGTATTAAGAAGAAAGAGGTCGTTGTCGTCACCATTCTTAGCCTCAAATAGCCCGGATACCACATACAAGGCGATAAAGCCTATGTTCGGTAACTGTTGAGTTTCTTCATAATCCAAATCTTGCAGTTTTCCTCGCGATATATATAGTAAACATCTCTTGGCTGCTTAGATCGTTTACGGCGATACAGAATCTGCGAGGGGTCACAAAGCCTGAGTCGCCCATCGCTATCCACTAAAGCGAACAAAGGGGCTTGACCCTGCGCGCGAATTTTGTTCACTGCTTTCTCAATATCTTCCATAGTTGTATCACAAATGTACTCAGCAAGTGGACTCATGTCTCGCCTTTGGGGCAAATGCCAAAATGTGATACTAGCCCGGTGAGAATCAGGATATGCGGGCACTGAGTATACAGACGATGAACGCAAAAGCGATGGAACTGGCTGAGGGCCCTCGCAAGCATTGGCGACAGAGCTAGATCCAAACCCCTCAAAGAAAGACAAGCAGATCAACACAAGCGCTCCGTATTCTGTCAAAGCGTAGCGCGGCTGCTGCGTAAGAGCACTCCATATCGTGGGAAGAAATAGTTCGGGATGGGTCCTGGGCACTCGTATAGCAGTCGCACTATCAGTTGTCATCAAAGGGGTAACAGTAGGTGGGCGATAATCAAAGATCGCTTGACCTCTTTGGCGTAAATGGGCTTCTGCATCGAACTTGTCTGCGGGTGCAGAGAAAAAGGTACTAGGTCGTTCTTTGAGCAAATGAATGCGGATCTGGGAGAGATTGGGGTCTTGATTGCAGAGTAACGATATCTGCTCAGACTCAAACCCAAGCCTGCGCGCAAATTGGCCAAGTCGAATCACCCATCCAGGACGCTCAGACGGCTCTGCCCGGTATTGTGTATTTGGAAAGCCCTGATGGCCTTGCGAATGGCGAAGCAAATACAAGCAAAGTTGCCAGTACGAATACAAACCAGGATCGCTACACTCAACAGAGCGTTCGTCGATTTCGTTGTATTGTAACACGTATCGCTGCTTATTTGGTTCGGGTCGCTCGCGCCAACGCTGAAGCAGGATGTCTCTTACTGAGGGAAGATGTCTGGAGTCTAGGCTGAATCCGCCCCTTAAAGGATAGAAATCACTTGCGGGAAACAACTCTCTCAAAGGGTGCATGATAGGTCCTAGTATCTTGACTTGTTTGAAGAAGGTCTGGAACGTCAAGACGAATCCTCCAGCAGTTAGAACCTTTTGTGAGATCTGAGCGCGTACAACTGGATCGCGTGCGCGAGGAAATATTTTCCCTGCGGCAAACAAACTCTCGATCAAGGAGCGGTCATGAGCACTCCATAAAGGTGCAAGTACTCCAAGTTTTTCAACTGTGTATTCATCGCACAAGTAAGTCTCGCCACCTGTGATTGTATACCAGATCCTATACATTTGCTTAAGGTAGCATTCTATCTCCTGGGTAGCTAAGCAATGCAATATGTTTTAGATCTTGGGAAGTCATACCTGCGTGCAACGCCAGCTCAGGATTAGTGGGAAGGAACTGAGCTGAAAACCCATCCATAGAGAGCGAAAGGGCTCTAGTTTCTTAAGACAATTGCGAAGCCATTCATTCCGCAACACTTGTTTTATACTTTTTGTCTTGGTTCCTAATAACCTTTCCCATTTTGAGGCAGCTGCATAGTTTTTCTCCTGTTTGTAGAACCGAATGTGGAGAAACTTTTCTCCGTCACAGGAAGTCTCATGCCGTCTATAGAATTGACGAATCTGGGTTAACGTAGTTGAGGGAGTATCTGTGCTAACTATTTAGCAGCCACATGTAACAAGAAGATTATGCAGTCACCTGAAGTGTAAAGATCAACGAGCCACCAATCGTCTTGACTTTGCGACCCCTCTCGTTTTGCAGCCTCTAACCGAAACCGTCCGTGAAGGCATAGTAACTCGACGCCCTTTGGAAGAGTAAGCTTCGGAGACATTCCGACAGCGTATAATGTGTCTGTGGTGATGTTTGCACTAGTCAAACAATCCTGATAATCGGAAAACCCAATAAGAGCCGGCAAATTATGTTGGAAGTCAGATATAAAACAGCCCTCGCAGTCATCCAAATCCGTAGTTGGTGCACTATAGCATAGGTTCAATACGTTTATTTGTGCGGTACCCAGGTAATACCGAAATCTTTCATACTTTGTACTCATGTTGTGGTCTTTTTGGTGGGGTTTCTGACAGGTTCGAGGTATAGATAAATATATTATCACAGTTGATGCCCATCCCAAAAGTGCATTTAGCAAGAAGCTGCTTCTCTCCCAAAAGTATTTATATAGACAAATTTTGGAACAACGTATACATAGGCTCTGTTATATCTCTATTGTACACACATGTCTCCCCAGAACAATTCGGACTGGTTTTACGGCTTTCAGACTGGAACTAATTGGTTCTTGATGTGTGGCGGGGCATTGCAACGCGCCACCGCTAGCCTTTACAATCCACATGCCCATTTCCCCTCAATTGTCTTGTTGATCGGCAAGCGCGAAAAAGAAGCTGCAATCCAAGCGCTGTTACCAGGGCGTGCCAATGCAAGATCACGTGGTATTGCGCAACTAGAAGCAGATAATTCCACGCTAGATAATAAGCATCCGCTCCTAGTTGCAAGTGTAGATCTAGACAACGCGTGCAGCAAGCAAAAACCATTGCGGAAGCAAAATGGACGTCCTCTTTATAGGATTAGGTGGCTGTCACATAAGTCACCAGCTAGCGAAACCGATTTCTTTGTGGAAATCATTGTTGGAAGGTTACTACTATCGTTCATCGACGTTGTTTGTCTTTTCCTCGATGATTTCTCCACTCGTGAGGAAGGTATCCAATTCCTGCAACGATGTGACAATCATGCTAAACTTTCAGGGGGTTGGAAGCCTCGGGTCATTCTCATCACTAGCAGCACCTACAGGCACAGAGGCTATTTAGGTCTGACCACGTTTGGTAGTATTCAACGCGTAGTACTGCCGGCTCCTCGACGCAAGGCTCCATCTTCCCGGTTTTTCGCTCTAGAAAGAGCCATACTTTCTAGCGTGGAGATGGTAAGGAAAAGTAGAAGTGCCTCTAGGATGCTCTACTCGGCTCATCATCTCAACGTCTTTTTCGAGTCCGCATTAGGACACACTGCATCATGCATCTCCACACCATTCAACTTTATCTTCGCTACACGCCAATGCAATCCAGTAGAAGACCATCTCTGGCTCTATCTGCAGAAGTTTCTAGGGCTGTGCATCACCAGCCAAATGAGCCAAGAAGCTACGTTGGAATACATGGCTTCTGCAATCATGCTTGATAGTCTTCCGCCAGGCATGCATCGTAAGTACTCCGCACTCTAGCTACCATGTTTTCATCTCAGCAAGCAGACTTTAAACCATTGGTCGTCTTTGAATCACTGTACCGAACCCATTGCGAAAAAGCCTTTTCATCAGTGTCTCCATATCGGGACATCTCGCCGGGCGCTTTGTGTACAAAGTTGAGAGCCCTCTTTAGTCAATTTTGTTCCAAAGTTGACGAAGAGACACTTACGGCAGTGGAGCTACACAAAAGAAATCTCCAGAACGTCGCTTTTGATTGGGAAACTATGTACAGCACTCAGCTATGTCTTTATTGTCTGTTTCGGAAGCCCGAGCACATTATGCGCTGTGGACATGCGCTATGCGATTCCTGCACTTGCAGGCTTGGGTTCAAGTTATCCCACATGGAATACGCATACCGCATCTCTCAGTGCATTTTGTGCCAATCCAAAGGTACCCTAACAATTCGTCTCAAGCCACCGACAGCAGGAAGTCGCTTGTTTGTCCTCGACGGAGGTGGTATACGTGGCATATCTACGCTAAGGATATTACATGCGCTTGATCAACATCGAAAGCTCCCATATCCTATCTACGACGAGTTTGACTTGACATTAGGTACAAGTACAGGTAAGTATCACCCCAATCTTTCCATTTGGTAGTGGCTAGTTACTGATGCCAAAATGCAGGCGGCCTCATCGTGCTTATGTTTCTCTTGCGTCGGAACATGACTGAATATATTGCTACCTTCAAGAAGCTGTCGGAACGTGTATTCTTACCTCGCCAATCATTCGGAAATAGCATATTAGCCAAACTGTACGGCTTCATGACTGCTTTGCTAATGGACGGCATGTACGGTGCTAGCGAGATAGAAGCATGCGTGAAAGAGGTTTTTGGGTCGGACACTACATTTTTTGGCTTCTTAGAATCTAAAGAGCACATTTCGGGACCAAAAGTAGCGGTTACTACAATGACCGTGTCCAGTTCGCGACTCTGCATTCTTTCAAACTATAATGGAGTGGGAGTTAGGCAAGGTAGAAGCCTATGTCCTAGATTGATGGGTGAGACTAATCCACAGCTGTAGGTTACAAACACCATCGGGCTTCTCGTGTAGAGGATGAAGCTTCCATCTGCGAAGTGTAGGTTTTTACTTTCTTCTGCAAATTCCAGAAGCTCACTCTAATTAGAGCACGGGCAACTTCTGCTGCTCCATCATATTTTCCGGCAAAGTTCATTCAGGGGTTGGGATTCCTACAAGATGGTGGTGCGGGGAAGCACAATAATCCCATCGGCCCGGCTGAGTGGGAGTCTAAAGCCATCTGGGATACTGCACCTGACATGATTGTTTCGATAGGAACAGGCTTCGCTCGTGATCCAGAATCGCCCCAGATCATCTCAAAAAGACTAGACTTCCGCAACCGCTTCTTTCCACGCTTGTTCCGACTTTTCAATGCTGTTTTAGATGCGCAACGCGGCTGGGAGGAACACTTGAATGGAGTTCCTAGAGACGAGCGGCACAAATACTTTCGGATCAACATACCGTTAAGCAAGGAGCCTCTGCTCAATGATGTTAGCAAGATGGCAGAGCTAGAGGACTTAGCTTCGAACTTTCTCGAGAGTCATGATTTTTCCAGTCTCATACAGGCGCTTTTTGCTAATTCCTTCTTCTTCGAACTTTTCTTGAAGCCGGCCACGAGGATGCGGTCAATGGTTTGCTCAGGCTCTATCCGCTGCCGCAGTCCAGATACCCGAGCGCTAGTTGAGCGAATTCTGGAAGAATATCCAAATGCTGCTTTTACTACCGAAGACGGTACCAGCTTGGGCCGCATTGATAGCTCCAGTATTTGCGCCACCTGTGGATATTACTGCAAGACCGTTCGGTTCAAAGCTTACCATGTCGACCAGCGCATATCTAGTTATTTACAGTTCAGCAATCTTGTTCAGCACAACATCAGTGGATTTCCACAATCTTTAGCGCAGCTCATAAGGCTACAGCTGCTAGACGCTGATTTTGGCAGACCAGATCATCAAGCCGTGGGTTATGCGGGTAGGAGTGCCTGTCATTGCGACGATGGCAAGAAAAGAAAAAGATCTGTCCCTTTGAAAACTAAGCCCTCTAAAAGATTTCGCCTAGAGTAGAGCGTGAGGGAGTTCAAATAGTATATAAGCGCAGTCTACATAGTGATTGAACAAAGCTTCTTTTTCATTCAAAGAGACCCTTACTCAAAAGCAAATCTCGCGACTCCCCTCAATACGAGTGTTTCTACCATTTATTGACTTATTGAAATTCAAAATCCGTGCTAGAACATGGGAATCAGAGAAGGGGTAGCAGTTTTCATTCATCATCTTCAGACAATGTTATCAGTATTGCGACAGAGACGAGCGGACCGCAAAGCCTTGAGTCGTTTCACACAAGACGGAATTAGTGAACGGAGGCGATATGAACAAGCACGTTGCAAATAGACTAGAACCAGGTCACTGCCGCTGAAACGGCTAGCCTGACATGGTCAGGCAGCCTGTAATGAATCTCGGTTGGCTCATCGTCAGTGATACTCTTCACTCAGTTGAGTCGTTAAAGTTAACTAAGTAACTAGCTAGCAAGATGCGGTTTACTCCCAAAAGCAAAACGTAGTTATAACGAGTTGGCATATACTAGACTGTCGTGATAGACGATGCAAGAAAGGTATAACACGAAAGGTATAACACGAGAGTTGTAATATTTCAGGTGCTTCTACGGATCGGAGTATGCTATACGATTTCTTGCTTATTATTATTATTATTCTAGTTTAACGTCCTTTTTCAGCCCGAAGGGCTATATAAGAC